AGGGGCCACACAAGCAGAGAGAGTCCAGAGTCAGGCCAGTTTCCTGGGTGTGACAGCAGCAGTCCCTGACAGTTCTATCAATCCGCCTCCTGCTCCTGGCTGGCCCCAGGGCTGGAATTATAGATTGCTCAAAAAGAACCCTGTGTCTGCCACAAGGGCAATCTTGTTAATGGCTCACCCCCAAATCCTGGATGTCCTAGAGTCCCCTGGGGGGTGCTTACCACTCACCTTCCTCTAGCTCCTTCCGGCTCAGGAAGGGAGGGAACCCCCACCTGTGAGGTCTATTGTGGTCTTTAATCCTTACCACACTGTGTGGCAATTACTATAATGAGGTAAGTAATGATGTGCCCAAGGTCACACAATGAACTAGGACAGTGGCCAGGAACAGGATGAGATCTGACTGTCAGAGCGGCGTCACCAGAATGCTGCAGAGGCTCAGAGCAGGGACAGGTGACAAGTGTACCATCAGCACCAGACCACAAAGAGGAGGTCTGCGGGGGCTCACAGAGGAGTAAAGCCATGTGGCTCGTCCTTCCTGCCCTTTCCAGGAGCCCTAAGGGACCCTCCCTCCTGCCATTGCCAAACAAAGCAAATCAAACGAAACAGCAAGGACAAGGGACTCAACGATGCCACCAAAAAACCACAAAGCACCCACCCCCTGGTCCTCAGCCTTCCCACGCCCAGCTCTGCTCACTGTGGTGGTGGGAAAGGGCCAAGGAGAGAGCCCACACCTCCAATGGGAACCACAGCTACTCAAGGTCAAGTTCTGCCCCAAGGGCGAGAGCTGGGGAGAAAGGGAGAAAAATAACTCAATAACAGTGCTGCAAGGTCCCCCAGGTCTCCCAGGCGGCGCTGAGCGACCAGGGGAGCAGAGAGGTGGCCTTCTCTCTGGAAATGACTCCTCTGTCCCTTGGGAGGGATGGAGGAGGTTCCTCCGGAGGCAGCAAGATGCGGAAGGCAGAGCTCTGGGAAATGGGCAAGGTCGGCAGGTGGGACTGGACAGGAGGGCTGGGAGGAGCAGGAGCCGCAACTCCTGAAAAAGGTCAGAGCCTCGGGAAGAGGAAGGCAGCCAGCGATGTCACGGTGGACAGTCCCAGAGGTAGACAGGTGCCCAAAAGAAAGGGAGGAAGGAGGACCCAAAAGAAAGCGGTGCCCAGGAGCGAAGGTGGGGAAAAGCGTTTCCGATGATAAGGGCGGGCGCTGGGGGGTGAGCAGCAAGTCCTGTCCCCAGACGGCACAGAGGGAGGGGTCCCAGGAAGAGCAGGGCAGGAAAGAGGCTCTCAGGGGTTGAGGGCACATGGGCAAAGGGTCAAAGGGTAAAAGGTTAGAGGGCACGAGGGCATGCTACAGGCTGAGCAGACAGAGAATGGGCACCATGCCAGGGCGAGGTCTCAGCCCAGCAGGCTGCAGCCTCAGTGCACCCCACCCGCCACCCCACTCGCCAGGCCACCAGGCTTCCTCTGGGAAAATCTCCACCTTCTCAGGGAGGAGCTGCTGCGCCACAAGCCCGGTACAATCGTAGGCCACTGTGGAAATCCGCATGCATCAGTGTCCCACGGCCTGGAGGGTCGTCTGCCTCGGCACAGTGACCAAGAGGGCTTCAGCGCAGCCAGCAGAAGCCAAGTCCTCCTGGTCAGCTGCTCGGAGGGCAGGACCAGGTGTAGGGAAGGCACTGGAGACCCAAGGGAGCCAGACGGAGCCTTGTTCTCCAGACGCCAGTGGTGTAGACGGGAGGCAAAGGCCAACGCGAGTCATTCCAATATCGTCTCAGCATGGCAGCAAGCGCCAGGAAGGCCGCTGCCCCAAGGACACACCGCAGGTGTGTTCTCAGAGTGGGGTGTGTGCGGGAGGAGCTGGCATCGCCAGGACCGGGCCCAAGCAGGGAGTGACCAGGGCCAGACAAGGCAGAGTCAGAGTCGCGGAGGACAGGGCCCCGGGTGGGGAGACCAGGCTGAGAGTCCCTGCCTCGAGGGGAAAGCTTTCTCAGACCCTGGGTGCCCCTCCCCAGCAGGCAGCTTCCGGGCACACTGGCTGCTCCTGGTGACTGATGCAGGGGGCAGAGGGCAGCTCAGGGTGTCTGGCGGGGACATGGCTGGGCCTGGGCTTCAGGTGTCTCTCTGACAACGTGCAGAGGAGAGCCCCAGGTGGTGAGGCTGCAGGTGGGCCGCGGGGAGGCTGCTGCTGGAGCCCAGGGTGGAGAGAGGCCCTCCCTGAGCAGGGGAAGGGAAGGCCAAGGCCAGGAGCTGGTCAGCAGGAACGGGCGGTGGGAGTCAGGGCTGCTGGCACATGATGACGCCCAGCTTTCTGACGCGGGCAATCGGGACAGCCGTGGTCCCACTGGGGCCAGACAGTGGGTCAGAACACCAGGTGGCGGCAGGTGCACACGGGAGAGACACCCTCTGAGTTAACAGGCGGGCGGGAAGGGACAGCTTCCACTCAAGTGCTCTCAAAGTCTGTGGCGGAAGCAGGGGAGGCCGGGTCCTTCAGATGACATGGAGTTGGAGCAGGAAGGGCTGAAACACAGAAGCCCCCTCTCATCCACTACCTGTGTTAATGGTGGTCGGAAAATAGTACATGGAAAGTTCCAGAAATACACAATTTACACATTTTTGAATGAGCTTTACTCTAGCATATTGTTCCAATGTTATCAGCGATGGCTACTCTGCGGCATTGCCTGACTCACACCTTAAACTGCACCTGAGGTTCCACACAGGGAAGGAACAGCGCGTGCAGGGCCCAGCCACCTTTAGGATGTCCTGGAACACAGAACAGCCAGTGGGACTACCACAGTCACCAGAGAGGGGACAGGCACAAACAGGGACCACCCAGCAATGCAGGTGACCCGTGGGACTGGAGGCCATTCGCCTTCTGACTCTGCTTATATGATCGATTCTGCTGCGAAGCCTTTAGCTTCTACGAAGTCAAACTTACATCTTTTCCTTTCCCATGGCACACCATCAAAGCCAAATGGCAGTTTGGATCAAACAAACAAAACACCCAGGCAGGCCACAGCCACTGATCTGAACCCATCCCGGCCACGTACTGCTGAGTGCCTCGGAGCCCAAGGCTCACCCCGGGTGACGTGCAGACGGTGTCAGGAGGGGCCAGAGACCGAAGGGGACTGCCCCCGGAAGGGGGCTCGAGGCTGGGACGCGGGATAGAGGACGGCTTAGTCTTCCCCGAGTACCCTCCCACGTGGTAGATTTTTTTTTAAACACATGCATTACATATTTTAAAAATAAGTCCAATCCAACAAAGGAAAATTACAAAGGAAGAAAAAGGACAAGAAGCCCGCGGTCAACAGACACGCCCACACGTGCTGCTGGGTGGTTTTCTCCAGCAGATGCACCTGGGTGGACCCGTGTTAGGGCAGATGTCACCTAAGTCACAGGACCAGGGACTGGAGGATGTAAACAAGATGTTTACAAGGCAAGGGCCCCGCTGGGCAGTGGGGAGAAAGCAGATACACTTCAGGCACAGACAGCCACTGACCCCGGGGACAAGATCCCCTGGGATCAGCGTGGGACACTGAGGCACAGAAAGGTCAAGTGACCCACAAGGGCACACAGCTAACTGGCTGCATTCTGGCTCTGGGGCTAAGTAACCGCCACCTTGACGCCACTTCTCACAGCATCACACCAGCGAGAACCAGCTACGGAGTAGGAGCACAGTTCCGTGACAACATTATAAATATGTGTGTGTGTATCTGTGTGCACACTTACAGGCAGGGTGTTTACAGGCCAACACCAGAAATAAATGAAATAAAACGTTAACAGTGGTTATGAGTGGTGATGTTTTAAAAAATGATTTGTGTAGTTTTTCTAAAATTAACATTAATATGATTAACAGGAAAAAATGCTATTTAAAACAGTCACTGGAATGGGCAAGTGAGAGGCATTCGATAAAAATAGACTTTCTGGAAAAGGGTGTCTTGGCAACATACCCCGAGAATGTGAATGAACACCCAGTCCTCTGCTGAATTCAGGAGCAGTTGTGGGAAGAGGGGAGACTTACAGACCTGGGTTCAGGCCACGTAGAAAGTGTCAACTCCTGAGCCTCCCGTTCCTACACAAACACAAGCTTCAGAGCAAAAAAACTCACTTCAAAAAGTCGTTGTAGAGACCAAGGAAGCCACCACAAACCAAAAAATCCTAAGAAGCCATTAAACCATGTGAGTTCAACAGTACTAAGTTTGCCTTTTGCTCCTTCAATAACAATGGGCAAAGACCCAGATCAAAATTAAACAGTGCTTTTAAAATACAGTGCCAGTTCCTGACTGATTGGTCACTTTGATTCAAGAAAGCAGACACTCCAAATCCAGAATGAGGCATTTCCACATCCAAAATCGGCTTCAGACTGCTTATTGAGCCTGGATAAGGATACGGGTGTCTCCACTCCTCCCACGTTTCAACTCAAAAACAGCTGTCACTGCTGGGCTTTGAGGATGGCTGCTTCCTTCATACGGGGCCAGGCTCCTGGTCTTCCCAGGAGCCAAGGTCATGGTCTTGGCTTGCCAGCTGGCCCACAACCATCCGAAGCTCTCTGGCCTCTGCCCATGAAAGCTCATGAACTTTCTGGTACCAGACCGAGAGTCGGGGTGATTTTCTAAAATGCTGACCCTGCTCCCACATCCCCTTGGCCCTCCCTGCCTCGAGGATGGGAGGTGTCTCCCTTCTGTGAGCCTAGGCTGCCCACGCAATTCCTGATGGAGCCTGCCCACCTTACTGGCCACCATCCGCTCAGGCCAGCCTCCAATCCAACCACTGCCACCAGCTCCCAGCTCCGCTCTTGGCCACCTATAGCCTACCACTATAGCAGCCAGAATAATGTATTCTTAAAAAAAAAAAAAATTAAGATAGAACAGACACCATTCCAGTAGGTATACTTCAGTTGTTTTTAGTATACTCACAGGCTGTATGGAGATCATCATTGCTTCCCAGCAGCTTGGGAGGCTGAGGCAGGAGATTGTGAGTTCAAAGCCAGCCTCAGCAATTAAGTGAGGCCCTAAGGAACTTAGTGAGACCCTGTGTCTAAATAAAATATAAAAAAGAGCTGGGGATGGGGCTCAGTGGTTGAGCACCCTGGGTTTAATCTCTGGTACCAAAAACAAAACAAAATTCACCACGACTATCTAATTTCAGGATATTCTCATCATCCTAAAAAGAACCCCTGTAGATGTTCACTCCCTATCCACCCTCACACGCCCTGGCAACTGCTGATGTACCTTCTGCCTCCATGGATTCGCCTATTCTGAGTGTTACATATAAACGGAAGCAAGCACATGTGGCCATTTGTGACGGGCTTCTTTCACAAGTTTTGATGTTCAGTCACTTGTAGTATTAGCATTCATTTTTTTAAATATTTTTTTCTTTTTTTTCTCTTCGGTACTGGGGATTGAACCCAGGGGCACTTACCCACTGAGCCACATCCACAGCCCTTTGTATGTTTTTTTTGGAGACAGGGTCTCACTAAGTTGCTTAGTGTCTTGCTAAGTTGCTTATGGCCTCAATAAGTTCCTGAGGTTGCCTCGAACTTGCGATCCTCCTGCCTCGCCTCCCAAGTTGCTGGGATTACAGGTGTGCACCACCACACCTGGCTCTATTACTTCTTATTGTAGTAAAAATATGCCTAACATAAAATTTAGCATCTTGACCCTTTTTTTTTTAAGGAATTTATTTATGTACCAAGGAGAAGTTTAAAAATAAATTTAAGGGAACATTGACTAGTGTTGACCTCTTAGCCACAGAGTACAGGTGAGAAGCCATAGATGCTAAAATTTCTACGAATACATGGGTTTACTAAAACCAAGACTCTCCATCAATGTTGAAATTTGCTCTTGGGAGGAGATCCCCATTTTATGATGTTTGGACACACTCTTTCTCCTGCTGGATAGTTTCCTTTGAGGGAAGAGTATTTTTTTCTTCAGTATTAGTTTTCTTCAGTTTTGATTTGTCAAACTTCTCCACTTCAGACAAGTCTGGTTTATCACTCATCTTGACTAAAAGAAAGACTGAAGCCTTGAGACTAGCGTAGAGCGGTCGGTTAATTGCTGCCACGTTCACTCTGGAGCAGGTTGGCGTTCCCACGCAGAACCAGGCACTTAAACGTCGGTAGCAGGCACCGCCCCCATATCCCACCCCAGCTCTCTGCATCTTGACCCTTTTTAAGCGTGTAGTTCAGTGATATTGACACTCACATTGCTGTGCAACCTCACCACCATCCAAACCGTCCTGTTCAAGGGTAACCCCCAGTCCACGACAACCCCAGCACTTTCTTCTCTATGGCTGTAATTACTCTAAGCACCTCATCCAAGTGGCACCACTCTCTTTGACTGGCGTATTTTACTTAGCATGACGTCCTCCAGTGAGGCTGCGCTTCAGCCTGTCAATGTCTCCCTCTCGAGGCTGGGTGGCGCCCCTGCCATTGTAGCTGTATTCTGCCACACCCAACTCAGCAGCCAGTGCTGCCTAGTCTACTTCCATGTTTCACTACCATGAGCACCACTGCCGTGAAAAGTAGAATTCAGAGAGTTCTTTGAAACTTGCTTCCAGTTCTTCTGCATGTATTCCCAGCAATGGGAACTTGAGTGGCTGAGGAACCTTGAGTGGCTGAGGGACCCTGCACCATGTCCCACAGCAGCAGTCCCTTTACATCCCCACCATCAGCGCCAAGAGTTCCGACTTCGCTACACCGGCAACAGTGTTTTGCGTTTTTGTTTGTTTGTTGATTGTAGCCATCCTAGGGGGTGTGATCAGATCTCCCTGGAGTCTTGATTTTCAGTGGCGCATAATCCTGGTGGCTTGGGAGGCTGAGGCAGGAGGATCATGAGTTCAAAGCCAGCCTCAGCAATGGCAAAGTTCTAAGCACCTCAGTGAGACCCCGTCTCTAAAGAAAATACAAAACAGGGTTGGGGATGTGGCTCAGTGGTGGAATACCTCAGTGGTTCAATTCCTGGTACCAAAAAAAAAAAAAAATCCTTTGCCCATTTTTTAACTTATCTATTGCTCTTTTGTTATTTTTAGGAATCCTCATTAGGTGTGGTGACATTCAGCTATTTGGGAGGCTGAGGCAGGAGGATCATGAGTTTGAGGCCAGCCTTATTTAGCAAGGCCTTAAATCAAAACAAAACCAAAAATAAAACAAAAAGGAGCTCTCTATTTTGGATATCACTCCTTTATCAGGGGACTTGGAAATACTTTGTCACATTCTGATATGTCTTCACACATTTTTTATAGTGTCCTTTGAAGCACACACATTTTAAATTTTGATGAAGCAGTTTATTTTTTTCTCTGGTTGCTGATGCTTTTGACATCGCGTGCAAGTAGCCACCACCTGATCCAAGTTATAAAGAGTTACACCTGTTCCCTTTTAGGAGTTCTAAGGTTTGCTCTGCGTGCTGGCCTTTGTTCTGTTTGGAGTTAACTGATGCACACAGCAGCCCAACCTCTTTCTTTTACACAGGGGCGTCCAGTGTAAATGGAAGACCATTCCTTCCCCATTGCATAGTCTTGGCGCACTTGCCGAAAAACCAGTTGACCACAGTCCTGTGGGTTTATTTCTGGAAATTCAGTTCCACCCCACGGATCTGGTCCTACCTGCACGCCAGGGCACCACATCTCGATGACGGCAGCTTTGTAATAAGTTTTAAAATGGGGAGGTATGAAGTCACCAACTTTGTCCTTCCTTTTCAACATTATTTTGGTGCTTGGAGTCCTTTGAATTCCCATAAAAAAATGTTAGTATCAGCTTGTCTATTTCTGCAAAAAGGCCATTGAAATTACAGTGCCTCTAGATTAACTAGGGAAATAGCTTCATCGCAACCACATTAAGGCTTGTGACCAAAGAACAGGATGGCTTTCTATTTCTGCCTTCAACAGTGTTTTGTAGTTTTCAATACACTGGTCTTACACATCTTTGCTTAAATTTATTCCCAGGTATTTTATCCTTTTTTTATTCCTTTTAAAATTTCATTTTGGATTTTTTTTAAAGCTAGTGTATAGAAATGCCAGCATGCCCGGCTCTGTCTTAGGATGTTGTGATGATTATATATCTTAGTGTAGATCTCTAAATTTATCCTTCTTGGGGTTCATGGAGATTTTTTGATGTGTAGACTAATGTTTTTCACTAAATTAGACATAGTTTTCATCCTTTCTCTCCAAATATTCTTCTGCTCTGTCTCTTCTTCCCCCGAAACTGACAGCTTGCGTATGTTGGGGTGCTGATGGTGTCCCAGGGGTCTCTGACGCTCTCTCCACTTATCCTCCTTCTTTCTGTTTCTGTGCCTCAGCCGGGATGGTCTCAGTGGAATAAGTCACAGATTGCTTCTCCTGCTCAAATCACTGTTCAGCTGCCCAGGGAATATTTTTTCTGTTTTAGTTATTGTACTTCTCAACTTTACAATTTTCCATTTGCTTCCTTTTTATAACTTCTATCCCATTGTGGATCATCTCTACTTGAGAATCCATTCATTCGTCCAGGAGGGTTTTCTTTAGTTCTTTGAATGTATTTTGAATAGCTGATTTGTCTAGTAATTCCAATCAGGGAGCTTCCTTGGGGATAGTTCCTATTGATCACCTTTTCCCCCTAAGGATTCTTTTTTTGCATGCATATTTTATAAGTTTTGTTAAACTGGACATTTCAGGTCATAAAAACTGATGGTTCTGGAAGCTGGCTTCTGCACCTCTCTAGGGTTTGTTGCTGCGGCTACTCGGGCAGTGATTTTCCTGGTTATTATGCAAAGACTGTATTCTATGTCATGTATGGTCACCGAAGTCTTCAATCAGTTAACTTATTAGTCAGCTGGTGATGGACAGAGATCCTTCTGGAACCAATAAACACCCATCCTTTGCTGAGAAGCTCTGCATAAATCTTGGGCACCTCCACCAGCCAGGCAGAGTTAGAGCTCCGCTCACGGAGTCCCAAGATCGGGCGGAGTAGAGGAGTCACTTCCTTCCCTGGCACATAGCCGACACACAGACGCAGCCTTCTGGATTCCAGGAATATATCTAGAGCTTTCCAAAGTCCCCTTTGGGCAGACACCTCCCTCCCCAACCTTCCCTTTGCAGCCTTGTTAGTCCATTGCTTGTCCCTCTGTCACCCATCACCTGAGGCAGCTGTCTTAGGAAGATGAAAGTCAAACAGTGTCCCTGGAGACAAGCATTCAGCGCTGGAGAAGGCTGAGTGAGGGAAAAAGAAAGACCATTGGGGGACCTTCAAGGGAGTCACTGGGCAGGTCGAGCAGGTCAAGTTAACACAGTTCTGCAAGATCTGGCCGCTGCGAACCCCACTCCACCTGCCCTGCGCCTCTCGTGCTCTACTCCAGGTTCCTAAACAGGCTAATCCTAGCCTCAGAGCCTTTGCAATAGTCCTTCCTGTGCCTGAGAAGCGCTCTCCTCTGACCTCTGCTCAGTTGTTCCTTCGTTTCATGAAGGTCTCCAATTAAACGGTGCTGCTTCCAAGGAACAGGAGCAAACCGATTCTGACTAGGTCACAGCCACTGCTCTACCCATGGGTCCCCAGCCTGCTGGCTAATCCACTCTGCTGTCAGCCAAGGGCGTGACATCACAAGGGACTTGGGAGCAAGGCTGTGGGACCTAAACTACCTGCAGGAGGGTGCCAGTCCTCACTCGCTGGAGCCTGGTGAGGCCTGTCACATGCTGGCCGGGGCGCTGCAAGGATTAAAGCTGCCTCCCGAGGGTCCTTTTGACCAAATGGGCTGGGACGCCCCTGACCCCAGAACACTTCCCGCAGGGGTTCTGGGCAGGGACTGTGTAAGCAAGAGCGAGAATTGGTCATTGAGTACATGCAGCAGGAGGTGTGGCCCTTCAGGAAGGAAAGTCCTTCCCCTCCAGTCGGCAGGGGTGTGCGCATGTCCGTGTGTGCTCCCCAAAGAACCTGGGGGCAGGAGGAGATCCAGCTCAAAATGAGACCACCGGGGCCTCTCCTGCTCTGGCCAGGAGGAGACTCTAGGGTCTGGAGGTGCCCCCTGCTGAGGTGGGAGGTCGCAGGTACCTGGGAACCTCAGCCCCTCCCCATCCTCGCCCCCTGGCATTTGGAAAAAAGAACCCATGCTCCCCATTTGTGAGAGGGGCTGCCCTGGTCTCGGACGCAAGAAGCAGAAACAAACGAACCCTGGCACGGCCCTGGACAGTTTGCCCAGCAGGTCACAGCGGATTCCCAAGGGGGAGGCCGAGGAGCTGGGGTCACACCCTCGCTCCACCGCCAGCCAGGGCTGCCAACTGAACGGGCGACTTCATTCTCTGACTCTGAGTCTCTAGGTCAGGGTTAGGGATGCCTCCAACTAGCTCATGTCAATCAAATGCAGAGGTGTCCTGCAGGGTGCGGTGGCAGGAGGCACTCCACCCCCGTGGCCACTCCCCATCTCTGTTCAGCTCGTGATACCCGGGCCAGCATCACTACAGGAAACTGAGGCCCTGGGAGCCTCATGGCTGGGTGCTACAATGTCACTGCCCCTAGAGTACTACAGGGACACTGTTGTCACATGACTCAGGATGGATGGGATGCGATGACCACGGGTGCCCAAGGTCCCCTGAGCAGGCCTGGTCTCTGGGAGCGCTGGGAACAGAGACGCACAGATCGGGGCTCTGGATGGGGCTTGGAGGGCAGAGGCCCGTGCTGGTAGGCTCTGTGCTTTTGGGTCTGCGCTGGGGACTGGCCAGCTTCAGCTTCCCCAGCCCCGCCCTCCCCGGCTGCTGGACTCCTTTCCTGCCTTCAAGAAGTTTCTGGTACCATCCACTCCTCCCACCCTCTGCCTCTGCTGATCACCCTCTCCCCCTGCCCAAGCCGCCCAGGTTGCCAAAACTCATTGCCAAGTACAAAGATCTCTTCTCAGGCTTAAGAGTCCCCCACCTGAGCTGGCCCTGGGGTCCACCCCAGTACTGCCCCACCCCCCCAAAAAAGATTCCCCCCAAATTTCTCTCCCATCCACACGCTGCCTGTCTCCATTGACCCTCCTCCGCACCCCAACCCCTGCAAGAGCCTCTCTTGGTCCACTGACCTTACTTACCCCTGTGTGTGGTCCCCGGGGACCTGCTCTCAACTCTGCCTGCTGGTTGCTCCCCGGGTCCTGCTCCCCTCCGGCCCTGGCCTTTGCTCCAGCCTCTACATCTTCCTCTTTTCCTTTAATTCCAATCATCCTAAAATGCAAAACTGCAACCTGACACCAGGTCCCCAGCATGTCACTGCCACAACAGCAGAGCTATCTCCCTGAGGATCCTCCCAGCCCCACTCAGATCTTCACTCTCCAAATGTGACAGTGTCCTGCATATGGTGTTTACTGTCCTGAGTGTTTTTACGTTGACTCCAATGTGCCTCCAAACCTCACACCATATAGAAATGGAGAACGACGGAGGCACGGTCTCTGCGCGGGCTCCTCCCGCTCATGTCCCAAGCAGAACCTTATCTCTCAAGGGCTTTTTTTGGGGGGGAGGGGGTTACCGGGGATTGAACCCAGGGGCACTCAGCCACTGAGCCACACCCCCAGCCCTATTTTGTATTTTATTTAGAGACAGGGTCTCACTGAGTTGCTTAGCACCTCACAGTTGCTGAGGCTGGCTTTGAACTTGGAATCCTCCTGCCTCAGCCTCCTGAGCTGCTGGGATTACCATGGCGCCTGAGCTTCCTGACAGGAGTCACCTTCCCAGAAGCAGGAGCCCATCTTGGCTCTGCCCCTGGCCCACTTCCCCCAGGGCCAACTTCTCTAGATCTTCTACAGTAACAGCATGATCTCTGGGCCTGTCTCTGCCCCCACCTCTTCTTTACCCTTCTAGGAAAACCTGTTGTTTTGAAATCCAAAGCTGACCTTACCAGGCTCTCTGTCCACCTGTAAAATCTCTGGCTGGCCCTGCCTCCCTCCCTGGCCTCTTGTCCCCACGTCTTCCTGTCTTCCCAACCCAGGTCCCAAATCTCTCACTGTAGGCAGAATTCGGCTCTCCCTGATGAACCAGGGCCCTTGCTGGGGATGTCTGCATCCCTGAGTTTCCTTTCTTGTGCCCCTACGGTGTCCCCTCTGCAGGATTCTTTCCCAACTAGAAAGAGTCCCTGCGTCCCCCCTGAGGCTCCTTAACATTCCCTACACACCTCCACCAGGTCACTCCCTCTAGTAATTTATGAGTCTTTCTTCCAATAAACTGTGGGCAAAGACAGGTCTCCTGTCTCCTCCCGGATCCACTATGACCTACCCACGTCACCAGTGCCCTAGTACATGCCACAGTCCAGAGCTTGCAGTGGGGGGAGCCAGACCCACTGCCTCATGTGGCTGGAGGGCCCCAGCCCCCTCGCACAGCCCAGCAGAGCAGCCCAGCCACGAGGATGGGGGAAGCCCAGGGGCTGCAGCCACAGGGGCAGGTGTGAGGACTCAGTGTGAGTGACTGGACGGTAGCCAGGGCAGCCCGGATGACAGGAAGCTGCATTAGGAGAGATCTGCCTGTGGCTGCCCCACCGGATGAGGGCAGCGGGGACACAAAGCCCCACCTGTCAGGCCCTCGGCAAAAACCCTCCACCCGCTGTCCTGGGCCTGGCCCTGTGCCTGCCACCAGCAGCTGCCTTCCCCTCCCTCCCTTTCTCAGTGGCCTTGGGTCTACTCCCCAGGACAGCTGCACCAACCAACAGGTGGGCAGAGGTTCACCATGACCCCCTGCTCCGGCTCCCCACAGAAACCTTCAGATTGCAGGAATCTCCCTGGAACAGCCACAGTGAGTGGCCCAGTGGCACCTGGGCGTCCCTAACTTGGAAGGCAAGCAGGGGAACAGAGTTGTGCGCTGCCCAGCTGCCCAGGGCTTTCTTCAAGGCCCCTTTTGTCCTCTCGAGGTCCCTGGCTCGGCTCCACACTGGGGCCATGCTCAGGAGCCCTGCCCTCCCTCGCAGGGCCTTCTGCAGCCTGCAGGCAACTCTGGTAGCCAGACGGGAAAGGAAGGGCGCGGGGGCCTAGGGATAGCCGCAAACTTGAGTTTCTGGACTTCTCATTACAAGGGCAATGCCGACCCACCCAGAGGGTGGTGCACACACGCCTACATGCACACACGTAAACACACACACAGAAACGCACACGCAGACAAGTGCAAGTTCTGCCTGTGCCTTGGCACTCAGGGCACCTCCATGGGGGACTGTTGGGGACCATGTCAGCTCCACAGCGAGACCAGGAGAAGAGAGGGTGGACATAAGCACGCGGGTGTGCCAGGCCTGGCTGTGGGTGGGTAAGTCAGCTGAGGTCGCACCAGTGTGGGGGGCACCATTCTCTGCCATGAGCGTGTGCAGAGACCCGCATCCCGGCTCCAGGTGTGCAGCCTGGTGGATTGTATTTGACCTTGAATGTGCACTCAGAGAGGTTTCTGGTACTCATGTCCTGGATCCCTGGAGCAAAATAGTACGAGCTTGAGAACAGACTCCCCGCGTCCTGCACTTCGCTGCAGGCTCTGCGGCCGGATGCCCCCAGCCCGATGGGCACAACCTGGGCTTAAGTCACCTGGCAGGAAAGCAAAGGGCCAGCGGAGCTGTGGCCATCGCCTGCTGCTGGTCTCTCCTTCCCACCCATGAAGTCCAGGGACACCTGTCCCAGCCGAGCTGGGCGGGGTGAGCAGGGGGGACAGTATATTCTTGGTTATTTTCTATTTTACTACATAATATTTTATATTATAATGCATAACATTTTGATCCATTTCCTTCCTTTTCCTGATTTCTTTTCATCTTTATCTGTCCCAGTAAATAAAACTTTTCCAAAAGAAGGTGGTTAGACTATAGTCCCGATAAGATTTTTAACCTTGTCTCCCTTGAAAGATCAAGAACTTCACTTCACCCAGATGCTTCGTGAACCAGCGCATCCTGAGCATGCGCGTCCATCCAACCCTCGAGCCGAAGGGCTCTCAGAAGGTGGGTGGATCCCAAACTACCCCTCCTTCCTCCCGTGGTTGTTCACAACACTAGGGCATCCACACTGTGACAAACGGCTTCGTGAGTAAGAGGGTTTGGGGTCTTTCAAGCTATTTTCTTAGGAGAAAGTCTTGGAAGTTGAAATGCTGAGTAATAATATTGTTAGGGATCCTGACACAATGGCCCAAATAGCTCTCCACACACTCACGCCTGTTGGTGCTAACATTACCACAAATGCCTAGTCTGTGCATCTTGATGTTTTATTTTTAAATATGATCTTATATTGATTTGTATTTTTTTACTTGCTCATTTTTCTTGTGATTATGAATTCTTGTCATCTTTTGTGAGTTACTGATCCATGTCCAGTTTTCTACTGGAATCTGTATCTTTTTTGATGTTGGTGTAAGTTCTTTGTATTCTAAAATTTTTATCACTTTTTAAAACATATTACCTCTTTAATCTGATTTTAGCCACTTAATAATTTTAAATCATCTAATAAGAATTATCAAAATAATATAGGAATATAGTTTAAAAACCAAGTAGTGACATTATCAAGCAAGTGAAAATCTACAGAATGGAAAAATTATTTGTGAATCATGAGTCTAGTATCCAGAATATAAAAAGAACTCTAGCAAATCAACAACAATAAAAGCAATTCAATTTAAACGTATGTAAAGGTCTTAAATAGACATTTCTCTGAAAAAGGTAAGCCAGTGGCCAACAAGCATACTCGAAGATGCTCAGTATCATAAGCTCCCAGGAAAATGCAAATCATAATAAGACACCTGCTCTGACGGGTACCATTCTAAAATAGCAAAAATAACAGGTGATGGCAGGGGTATAGAGAAACTGGAACCCCTGCACACAGCTGGTGAGAATGTGCGACGGAGTAGCTATAGGAGAAAACAGTTGGGTAATTCCTCAGAGAGTTAGACCAAGTATCACCATGCTATCCCCCAATTGCACTGCTAAGCGTGTGCCCAAAGAACTGAGAACAGTTATCCAAATTAATATTTGTACAGGAATGCTCATGGTCACACTGTTCACAATAGCCATGAAGCAGAAATGACCAAAGGCCCACCAACTGATAAATGAATGAGCAAAGGTGGTCTTACTCCTGCAGTGATGATGAAATATTATTCAGTTGTGAAAAATGATGAAGTTCTGATACATGCTACAATGTGGACAAACCCTGAAAACACTATGCCCAGGGAAAAAATCACAACCCAGAAGGGTGCTATTATGTAACTTGGTTTATATAAAACTTCCAGAGTGGGCAAATCCACAGTGACAGCCAGCCAGTCCAGCGGTTGCCATAAAGTAGGGAGAGGGGGAAACAGAAGTTGGTGGGGGATGTGACTGCTTAGTGGGCATGTGGCTTCCTTTGGATGGATTAAAATGTCTTAAAGCCAAACAGAAGTGACGATTGCATGACACTGTTAAGGTATTCAATGCCACTGAATTGTACCCTTTAAAAGAGTTAAGCATTGTACCCTTTAAAAGAGTTAATGATTCATTTTATGGTACACAGATTTTACCTCCATTTTTAAAAAGAAGTTGAGTGTCAAGGATAGTTTCTAATAGCAACCTGCACTCTCCACCGTGCACCCCACCTGCCCCATCCTCCCCGCCCCCCACCCCACCCCACACTCTTGCTTTCTACCACTTTTCCTTCCATCCGGAAGCAGTAAACTCAGTGTTTCCAATTAACAGACTGACGCTGCTGTTTCTTCACTAATTTTAATGTCACCTGATGGGTTCCTATTGTGAGGGATAAGACCCGATTCTCTT